CCGCGCGAAGCGCGGAAATGTTCACTAGTTATAATATAAAGCCAAATGTAGGCAAGGATGATGTGGCACCTCTCTAAGGCCACCATTGCTATTTATCCTTTTTCTCATTTTTTTTTTGACATTTTTCTCTATTTTTTCTTATTTTTTTAATCAAAGAACTAATCATATTCTATCCTATTTATTAAGTTTCATTAAATTTTATAACAACCATATTAATTTATTATGGCACCTCTTTATGGCCTAGAATATTATTTATCTTTAGTCTTCCCTTCTTTTTTTTTTTTTTTTAAATAATTCCTTTCATTATTTTCATTATTAATTATAAAAGTTTACATATATATATATATTTGTTGCATCTTATTATATCTCATGAGTTATTAATAATAATAATAATAATAATAATTATTATTATTATTATTATTATTATTATAATATATATATAAATTAATTATCGTATTGTAAAAGTAAATTACTTAATTTATTATAAATAATTTTTTTTATTAATGTAGGAACATTAACAACAAAAAAACTCTCCACATTCTTTTTTCTATTTGTTTGTCTCACTTCTAATCATGAAATGATAATAATTTTTTTTTTTTGTATTTTAAGTATTTTTCTCTTTTTTTTTAATTTATTCACAATGAGTTATTACCCATGACTTGTCCCTCTTTAATTTTTACTTTTAATAATATTCATAACTCCCATAATTTTTATGTCCATAGCCTTCAAACTTAAATTTGTAAGTGTATGATGTCTTATGGTATTCCTCTATTTTGCCTATAAATTCATATTAGTTTCATGAAGATTCACATTCATAATTATCTTTTCTCTTCTTTATCATATTTGTTTGATTTGTAACAAAATATAAGTACATGAAGGTAAGAAATATTTCATTGCAAATCTTTATTTTTTTCATTTCCTCTGTTTTGTATATATAAATTCATATTTGATTTGTGAATGAAACTAACATGTAACAAAAAAAAATACATAAAGTTAATAAATTTTTCATTTTCAACTCCTTATTTTTTCATTTCCTCTATTTTGTTTATATAAATTCATATTTACTTTCATGAGGATTCACATACAAAATTATAATTTCTCTTCTTCATCACATTTGTTTGTGAATTAACTAACAAGTAACAAAAAAGAAGTACATGAAGGTAAGATATATTTCATTCTCAAGTCTTTTTATTTTTATTTTTATGTACTTAGACATGCTTTCTTAATATTTTATTTATGTTTGTATTATCATTCATAAAGCAAATATGATTTTAAAAAATGCCTCTGTAATTCTTAACAATGTTTGTCCGTGTAATTTCTCTTTCTAATAGTTAATTTTCGGGATATAATATAGTTTGATTATAATATTTGTTAGAGTTCAAGAAATGATTATTATTTAGTATACAAATATATTACATATAGTTTAAATTTTTTTTTTTTGTTATATAATTATTTTTAATTGGCATATGATATTTTTTTATTCAGTTGGTCGCATATAATGAAGAGTTTGACATATGGGGCAAAATATGGTGGCGGATTTACTTGCAAAGGAAGATGGTAGAAGGAAAATAAATGAAGCATAATTAGAGATTATTTTTGCTAGATTTGTTTTCCCACTTTGACTTGTATTGGTAACTTAGTTACTTTTGCTAGAATTTTTTAAATTTTGATTTGTATAAATAATTTAGCTAAATGTATTGCCAACGCTAATCCTTTGATCCTTTACTATTCTACTTTTTCTTTGTTATGAAGCAAAATTAATATAATTATCACATTTCAACAACAAAAAACTATGATGATTAGGATTTCATTTTTATTATACTTGCAAAAAAAGAAATTGAAAAATAAAATATTAGTTTCATGATGCCATTTTTTTTTGCGTATGTAACAGTCTGTTTTCGTCACCATCCTTTTGGTTTGAAATGTATTTATAATTTTTATGCAGTCACCGCTTATTATATTTTCTTTGTTCATTTTTTGTATTTTCACCCCTTATTTTATTTATTTATTTTACAAATAAAATCAATGCGTAATTATTAATACATTTAATGTCTAATAAAATTATGCATTTAAATTATTTATAACTCATGTCTCTTCATCTTACTTGTAACTTCTAATATTAAATATTATTCTTAACTATTGTATGTTTCATTCTTAATAATATTTAATTAATGTTTTAAATATTATAATAAACAAATGTAATAATAAAGACATAATAAAAATTTCAATTTTGTTTTTACGAAAAGTTTGTATAGAAAATTAACTCCTACAAAAGACAGAGGAAGTTAAAACATATAAAATATTTACAACGTAATACAATATATTGTTATTTCAACATATTACCTCTTATTCCATTTACTTCACCACGATGAATATTTTGTTCTACTATATACATATACAAAAAAATACATTATATTTTATATGTTTAAAAAAATGAAAAAACATATGATATTGCAGATGAAGAGAAATATTAATATCAGCCATATATTCGATACTAACCTAAATATAAATATTACACATTATTATCTTATAAATATTTCATAAAGCCGCGCGAAGCGCGGATACTTTCACTAGTTAATATATATATAGTGAAGATAAGTTCACTAGTCTAGAAAAAAAAATTGTTGTGATGAAGGTGAAAGAAAAAATGTTGTTTTTGGGATTTTTACATAGAATTATTTTCATGATTTTTCTCTTTGTGCCAATTTTCTTCAATGGAGTAGAGAGTTTTAATAGAATTCTTCTGGATACAGATGTGGATACTGATGATTTCTTTGCTCTTTTCTACATTTTGAAGCTTAATAGATCAGAAATTGACTTGAAGGTACTCTTCCCCCCCTCAATGCCCTCTTTTTTTTATCCTCAAATGTTGGAATTATTTGATTACGGTGATATCACATTTTCTATTTACTTAATTATATCGGGTGAATGATTGATTTCTTTATGTGCTAAATTATTTTTTGTGTGTGTAAAAGATGACGATAAGACTTGACCAAAACTTTTACGACTCTATTACTCATCTGAAACGAATGTCGAATATAATCATCTAAGAATAATCTATCATGTCTTTTTTGTTTACTACTTAATTAAAGTTATTTGCATTTTGCACCTCTAATGTGTTTTTTGTTTGTTTGTTTGTTTGTTTGATTGCCTCCAATTATAGATAGAGGTGCAAAATACAAATGCAAAAGCAAAATGAACAATTCTTTGTATTTAGCTTGTATAGATTCATAAAATCACACTTATTTCGCTTGTAATTTGTATTAATGAGTATATTATTCTTTTAAAAATTAAATATTAGTAAATAATGTGATCTGAGTTTTTTGTATAAAAAAAAGGTATCCAATTAAGATTTCTTACTTTATCTCACTATTATTGTTACACACGAATTTCATGGCCTCCAAGTGAACGTATATTGGGATAATGATATGAGAAACTAATAGAAGAAACTCTATTTATAATTCAAAAGATAAGTTTGAAAGGGGAAAAAAAGAAGAAAAAGATAACGGCTAACCAAATTAAATTTCTTGATAGTGTTAATATATTATTTTTTGGTAGAATAGTACGATCAGAAGATCAAAGGAAGGTATCAGATTGATCATCTGCAAAATGTAGTGCAATTTTAATGTTTCTTTAGCTAAAAGCTTGATAAGAGATTTACTTTTTATATTAATAATATTGCGGAATTAACTTAGAACGAAAGGTTAAAGAAGCTTCAGCTTTTTAACTTAGTCTTTCTAATCTCCTAATAATTATAATGAATGTGTTACAAATATTATATTAGATTTTTATCCACAAAATTTTTAAAGGAATCATTTAGTTACAAACATTAAGGTGTAAAAAGTCTTATTATTTGTAGTTTGAAAATTAGAATATTAATGAACATTACTACTCCCTCTGTCCCAATTTATGTGACACATTTCGCTTTTCGAGAGTCAAACAATTTAAGTTTAACCGAGAATTTGCTCATGAAATCTTTAATTTTTTTAAAATGAAATATATATATTTGTAAACTACATAAAAAGTACTATAAGTCACAATAATTGATAATTCAAAATATTTAAAAGATATAAGAAAAATTTACAGTAAAAAATAGACTTGTTTGAATCTCGAAATCTGAAATGTGTCACATAAATTGGGACATAGGGAATACTATTTTTATGTAGAATTCAATCATCTCTTCATACATGACTTACCCATCATTAAACT